GCAGACACAGGCCCCAACATTGCCCCTAAGATGACCCCGGTGGGCCCCAAGACGGCGAGCAAACGCCCAATGGTGCCCAAGGGGGCCCCCGAGATCGCCAGCGGGCTCCGCAGAAAAGCTCCCCCTCGGATTCCTGATCCCGCTCGTCCCCCTTGCCCGCATCAATCCTGCTCTTCCTCCTCCCCTTCCTCCTGCTCCTCCTCTTCCTCCTCCACCTCCTCCTCCTCCTCCTCCTCCTCCTCCTCCCCGTCCTCTCCTCCTCCCCCTCCTCCTCCTCTTACTCCTCCTTCTCCCCCTTCATCGTCATCATCATCACCCTCGTCGTCATGGAGCATCCACCTCTCCCCCTGGTGCTCCTCCTCAGGAATCTCGCAGGATCTGTCAGAATCTTTCAGGATCTCTCAGGATCTCTCAGATCTCTCAGAATCTCTCAGGATCTCTCAGAATCTCTCAGAATCTCTCAGAAGCTCTCAGAATCTCTCAGAATTCAGAATGTTTCAGAATCTTTCAGAATCTTTCAGAATTTCTCAGGATCTCTCAGAATCTCTCAGAATCTCTCAGAGGCTCGCAGGAATCTCTCAGAATCTGCCAGAATCTTTCAGATTCTCTCAGAATCTTTCATCAGAATCACTCAGAATCTCTCAGGACCGCTCAGAATCTCTCAGAATCTCTGGAGGAATCTCTCAGAAGCTCGCAGGAATCTTTCAGGAACCTCTCAGAATCTGCCAGAAGGTCTCAGAATCTTTCAAAATCGTCAGAATCTCTCAGAATCTCTGCAGGAATCTCTCAGAGGCTCGCAGGAATGTCTCAGGAATCTCTCAACATCTCTGCAGGAATCTCTCATAGGCTCGCAGGAAGCTCGCAGGAATCTCTCAGAAGCAGAAGCTCTCAGAATCTCTCAGGATCTCTCAAAATCTCTCAGAACCTCTCAGGATCTCTCAGAATCTCTCAGAATCTTTCAGAATCACTCAGGAAATCTCAGAATCTCTCAGAATCTCTCATAATCTCTCAGGATCTCTCAGGATCTCTCAGAATCTCTCAGGATCTTTCAGAATCATTCAGGATCTCTCAGAATCTCTCAGAATCTCGCAGAATCTTTCAGAATCTCTCAGAGGCTCTCAGAGGCTCTGAGAGGCTCTCAGAATCTATCAGAGGCCCTCACAGGCTCTCAGAGGCTCTCAGAACCTTGCAGAATCTTGCAGAATCTCTCAGAATCTCTCAGAGGCTCGCAGTGGCCCTCAGAACCTTGCAGAGATTGGAGCTTTTCAGAGGCTCCAAAGTGGTTGGGATCTCACGCGTCCCACGTGTCCTTGACGGCTGGGATCTGAACCGCCCCGTTGGGATCTCACGCGCCCGGCTGGGATCTGAACCTTTCCCCCGGAGGCGCCGCCGGGGGGGCGCAGCGCGGATCCGAGAAATCCGCACGGAGCGCCAAAAGCTTATGCGCATGCTGTTGTTTCTGTTTCGATTGGCTTTCCCGCCGAATCTACGAACAAACGCAGAAAGTTCAGGTGGAACCGCCTGCGTGTGTTTCGCGAATTCGGCGGGGACATCAATTTTCGGGTGAATCGATTCAGTAGTTCATCCCCTACACTCAAGTGGTTCGGGCTCGCTTCACGGACCCAGGGAAGGGCGGCGAGCCCGCGGGGAAAGTGAGAAGGAGAAGGCCTTCACAAAAGGCTCGAACGTTCCCCGGCCCTATGAGAAGTTGTCTGAGCCTTCTCCGAGGACGCAGAAAGCTGTTCAGAAGGCGCGAGAGTTTGTGAGAAGTCTCGCCGCCTTCTGAGAAGGCCTTCTCCTTCTCACCCCCCCCTCGCTCGCCGCCGACGGGAGGGCCCCAGGGGGAATCGAGGGTGCCTGTATGATGCGCCTGCTCGCTATATGCGTCCAGACCGCCCATGCAGAGTGCGCTGCAGAGTCTGAAAAGAGCACGCCACTCCAATGCAACGCAAAAGCTCCCCTCTGGAGGCTGCTAGGGGGCCCAAGCTGGTTGGGCCCCGACATCAAGAGGGGGGCGAGCTGCGACCTGCGACCTGCTTTGAGGGCCGCGAGGGCGCTGCAGGGCGGGGCCGAAGCACCCAGCGAGCGAGTATACAGTACCACCAGGACTCGCCAGGGACCCGATAACATCCACCAAATCGTCCTCTCGCTCGGCCCACTTGCTGGCGCAGGCGGTCTGCATCAGAAAAGGGGAAGCGTCTTGCACGCAGCTTGCTTCGGAAAGGCAGGTCCGCTGAAAATCGGCCCTGGGGCCCCTCCTGGGGCCCCCCTGGCGCAGCGCGCCACCCCGGATCCTTTTTTTTTGAAAAGGGGAACTGGGGCGCACAAATAAATACACGCTGCAGGAAACAAAAAATATATCAGTGATTTGGGCGAGGATTGTCGCGCATGCGCCGCTGTGACATTTGCGTGCTGTGGAGAGCCAGTTTTGGCTCAGTTCATGCTGAGGTGGAAAAGAGATTTTACAAGCCCTGTCGGGCAAGGTCCGTGGACCCCAGCTCCCCTACCCGAAGTTATCAAGATAACATGCACTTATTAGTTCAGCACTTGCATGGTAGCGCGACTGGTTTCTTCTCCAGATGGCTGGTCTTGTAGACACGCGCCTGTTGGGACGACCGAACAAGTATTCAGGCAATCGAAATGAGTTTCCGACTTTCAGATATCAGCTGATCAGCTACCTTGGCGCGATTGACCCGAGGTTGGCATCAGCAGTGACAACGGCAGCTAGCCACGGCACGGTCACCACGTTGACCGAGATGGGAGACGATAACAAGCAGTACGCAGCGACGATGGGATACATTATGTCACAGTTGTTGGGAGGCAGCGCGCTCACCTTGGTGATGAACTGCGAGCAAGGAAATGGATTGGAGCAGTGGAGACGACTATGCATGCGAGAAGATGCGGCGACAAGCTCCAACAAGGCGACGCAGCTGCAGCTGTTAGTGAACACAAAGTTTTCAGGCAAATGGGAGACCTACGTCGAGGAGCTCACGAAGTTTCTGTTGGACGTCAATCGGCATCAGGAAAAGTTCAGTGATCTGATCTCGGACACCCTCATCCAGGCTATGATCAAGAAGCACACGCCCGAGCCGCTCAGGACACAGGTGATGATGCAAACGTTCACGTCTTATCAGACTCTACGTGAGACCTGCGAGTCCTTCGCTCAGCAGATGAGCCAGCGAGACACGAAGACGGCCCAGAAGAAATTCGACCCCAATGCATGGACGTAGACGCCTTCGGCAAAGGTGGCAAGGGCGACTCCAAGGGCGAGGGCTACGGCAGGTCAGACATGAAGGGCGGCAAGGCGGGTGGCCAAAAGGGCGCAGGGGGCCGACGCGGCAAAAGCGACGGTAAAGGCAAGACAAAGAGTAAGAAGGGAGAGGTGGAGTTCTTCGACGGATGGTGCTCTAACCCACACTGTGGCAAGTATGGGCACAAGATGGCGGATTGCAGGCAGCGCGGAGGCGGCGCGTGCCAATCTGGAGGAGGTCAACCGTCCGTGCCAGAGGTCCAGCCAGGATCATCACAGCCACCCGGGTCGGGCACAGCAAATACGGTCCATCCAGGCGATTCGGCATCGCAGATGTCGGTACCTACGCAGGCCACAACACATGTGCCTGGACGGGTGCAGGCGGCAGTACTACCAGAGGACGAAGCAAGCGGATTGGATTTTTGCGTTCACGGACGACCACGACGGGGACGAATGCGAGATGCTTGTTGACAGTGGAGCTCACACTCATGTCGTACCAAAGACTATGACGGAGGGGTGCGAACTCACGGGCGAGCCAGGTCAGTCTCTGCGATCGATTACTGGAAAGGGTATACGGACATGGGACAAGCGCGCGTTGATTGGAGAGGTTTTCGATTCAAATACGACGATCAGTGCGAAGCTCAACGTCACTCCAGCTGAAGTCAGTAGAGGTGCTCTTTCAGTCGCGGAGATGAGCGATGCAGGTTATTCAGTGCACTTTGACCCTGACGGAGCCAAGATGTTCAGAAGCAACAAGAATGTGCAGCATGAGATTGACACAGCACTGGAGTCTACTGTGTCACTCCAGCTGCGTCGGAAGGTGAATGCATTTCTTCTTCCGATGAGGTTCAAGGGTCCGACGGGCGACGAGTCCATCATCGGGGACGTCGACGAGCAACCTGAGAAGGAGGACGCACAGATGAAGGAGGAGTCTGTCGAGAAGGAGCCTGCCGAGATGCAGGTCAGCAGTGGAGCGGCTAGTTCACGCGATGGCCCACGTGGCGCCGCTGGTGGGGGCCCAGGATTCGCTAGGGGCGCCCGCCGCACCTGGCCTCAAGAGGCCAGTTCAAGTGTTGGGAGAACTTGTCAGAGCGCACATTCGGAGAGGTCATCTACCTTTCGAGGCTTGGAGTCAGGAGTGCATGATGGGGAGGGGGCGAGAAGACCCTCGCCGCGCAAGGGATCCAAACGCATCGGCTACTCCAGTTGTCTCATTTGACGATGGGTTGCTCAGTATTGGCGAAGATGGCGCTGGCCACAAACTCACCCGGCGGTGGGCAAGGACCGAAGGACTGGATACCTCATGGGGGTTGCTGTCGAGGCGACAGGGAACCAGAGCTACGCCATAGCGGCCATCAGCGAGTTCTTGGACTAGCTGGGCTACATGAGCACGGAGGTGCAGTTGGACGGCGAACCCGCGCTGGAGGCCCTCATGAATGGGGTTGTTTCTGAGCGTATCAAGAAGCTTGGCAAGGAGGCTGCGGAGGCTCAGCTCCGAGTACGGCGGGTTCCGAAAGGAAGCCATGCGTCTCAAGGAGGAGCTGAGAGTGGAGTCAAGTCTGTAGCAGGTCTTGCCAGGACTGGGCGTTTGGCTCTGGAGAGACGATACAACATGAAGTTCACGGAGGATGTTCCCGTCATCCCCTGGATGATACGTCATCATATATTCCGCCACAACAGATTCCAGCGGAGGAGGGGCAGCGGTCGCACATCGTTTGAGGAGTTGAGATTGGCACCGTATACATCACCCATGCTGGAGTTCGGGGAGACGGTGGTCGGCAAGGAGCACACCGAGCTGCAGGACAAGCTGGGCACGGCCTGGTGCAAAGGAATGCGGCTTGGACGCAGTACGAAGAGTGACGCTCACATCATAGGTACAGCAACTGGGATAGTTCAAGCCAGGGCGGCGAAACAGCTTACGAAGGAGGAGAGTTTCGATACGGAGATTCTCAGAGCTATGCGGTGGACGCCGTGGAAGACCCCGGTGAGGGCTGGAGTCTTTGACGGCGAGAACTGGCAGCCAACGGAGGGATGTCCTGGGCGTGAGTACGCAGCAAAGGGTCAGCACGGACGTGGCCGACCACCACACCACAGCAGGACACGCCAGCAACGTCGGGCCGAGTATGAGAAGACTGTTGCCAGCAAGACCGAGGAGCAGCCCAAGGTCGTCGCGGTTCCAGCGCCCGCGATCAGCTCCGAGGCAGGCCATGGCAATCAACAAGCACCAGCAGGGCCAGAGCCAGCACAAAGTCGAGATCCAGTTTCGGAGGCCCGGCAGCAGGTGCATGGGATCGAGAGGAGGCTTCGTGGCAAGCAGGAGGCCCCTGCCCCAGGATCGTCTAGCAAACGGGGAGCTGCTGACGCAGACCTTGGTGAAGGCGGCCCTGGGGGCCCACCTGGCAATCGAGGTCTGGTGGGAGCCATCGAGGACATGAGTACGGAGGGCCTCAAGAGGCTCGTGGCAGGCTTCAGCGCAGAGGAGATGATGAGGCTCGCGGCCGAGGTCGACAAAGAGACGAAGGACGACAGCGAGTTCAGCGTCATGGGCTGGACGGAGGACGGCGAGTGGGAGGCGAAGCAGCGCGAGCTGGATCGGTTCAACAACTACGACGTGTGGGAGCTCACCCTCAGGGGCCCTCACGGGCCCAAGGCTCTCACGTGGACATGGGTCTTGGAGATGAGGAGTGGCGAGCTCAAGGCAAGGCTCTGTGCGAAGCCATTCGGCAAGCAGATCAACAAGAGCAAGAACAAGCTGCATTGCCCCACTCCACTTTCGTTTTCACTCAAACTGCTCATGGCGCACGCGATCGCCAAGGACTTTGCGATTTACTTCTTCGATATATCTCGAGCGTTTCTGCATGCACCTATTCGGGAGTTGGTTTAGGCTGAGGTCCCGAGGGAGTACTGCCACTTACCAGATAGTTCAGATTGGGTTTTCAAGCTCAACAAGACAGTTTATGTACTCGACGAGGCAATGATAGATTTCGATGACCACTTCGAGAACATTGCTACAGGACGGAGCGATGAATCAAAGATGGCTTGCAAGAGGTGTCTTGCGGATCCGTGCACGTTCGCAGACAAGACCAATCAGGCGGCGAAGTCCAAGCATGTCGATGACGGTGCACTGGTTGGGCCTAGCGTTTCAGCCAGCAGAGTTTTGGAGGAGCTCGGCACGCACTTTCTGCTTACGGTTTAAGGACTTACTACGGTTGGTGGTCCAGAGATCGAGCATCTTGGACGCGGCTGGCCCCGTACCCCCGAGGGTATTCAAGTTCGTATGCGGCCTGCTAGCGTGAAGAAGCCACTCGACTCTGAGCCCAATGATAAGAAGACGAGCCCAATACCTGGAATCGAGAATGAGAGGAAGGTCGAGAGCGAGGAGGAGTTGGACGCAAAGGCGGCCGCGAGGTTCAGGAGCAACAACGGCCTCAACACGTTCGCTTGCTTAGAGAGGCCCGAGTGCCAGTACGCGGCGCAGGAGTGCTCGAGGGGGACGTCGCGACCAACGGTGCAGGACCAGACGAGACTTATGCGTATCATCAGGTTCATTCGAGCTCATCCGTCGTCGGCGACATGTATGTATCCAGACAGTGGTGAGTTCAGAATCATAGGACGTGCAGATTCAAACTGGGCAGATGATCCAATCGGAAGGAAGTCTACCAGCTGTGGCCAGTTGTTTCTCAATGGAGCTTTGATCATGCAGTTTGTCCAAACACAAAGGGCTCCAGCACTATCGTCACCCGAGGCCGAGTTCAATGCGCTCGTGCACGTCGGCATCGAGGCGACGGGGTGCCCAGGCATATCTCACGGAGCTCCTGGACGACACAGTGCCTGTGACGCTGGAGAGTGACAACTCTAGCGCGCTCACGAATGTCGAGAAGAATGGAGTTGGTAGGATGCGCCATATCGAGCTGAAGGACCTGTGGATCAAGGACCTCGTCGCACGGAAGGCGGAGACGAAGGTCAGCACCAACAAGGTCCATACCGAGGAGAACACAGCAGACATCGGGACGAAGCATTTGTCGAGGATCGATTTCATGAAGCATCTGACGGCAATGAAGGTATGGCTTAATGGAAAAGGTGAAGTTGAAGAAGTTTCGAGTTCAAGCAACGACAAGAAGGGCCAGATCGGTAAACCTGCGCTGGAACTAATGGGTGCACTTGCCCAATGCTTGGTGGGTCTTGGTGTGTTTCTTTAAGTTGGACGCTCAGATGCTACTGAGATAATTAAGGGTGACTACCAGCCAGTCGCGATCTCAAGCCCTGCAGATGACGAGAGCCATTTTGGCGTTTCCACAACGGTTGTGATGATGATGCTCACCCTTTTGAGTGTTATCGCAGCGAGTGCAGTCTTCAAAGTCAAGCAGCACATCGACCGTATCATGCAGCCAGCAGAGAAAGAGGCCTCAACTCAGTACAGCCTGAAGGACACGATGAAGAATGGAGCTACGAGCAAGATCGTGGCCAATGATCTTCGGGCTATGTTCACAGCTATGACTATAGACAGTGGACGGGAGTTTCGACGACGACGGCGGGTGGATCGGGCCATCTCGACATATACAAAGGCGATGGTGGTCGAAGCGTGCGTGGCGACCGCCCTCAACGAGATAAGGCAGGACAAGATCTACAGTGTTGATGGGTTTGTCGGGATTTGGCACCCTCACTCGCTGGCCATGATTCGATATTAATATGTTTCCAGATTAAGTGCCCGATCTTGGCATGAAGCTGCAGATGGGCCCGAGGAGGAGTGCAGGAAACAAGGGATATATCAGTGATTTGAGTGAGGATTGTTGTGCATGCGCTGTTGTGACATTTGTGTACTGTGGAGAGCCAGTTTTGGCTCAGTTCATGCTGAGGTGGAAAAGAGATTTCACCAGCCCTGTCGGGCAAGGTCCGTGGACCCCAGCTCCGCGACCCGAAGTTATCAAGATAACATACACTTATTAGGTCAATATTTTCTGGGCTTCTGCCTTCCCCCCACTTCCAATATTTTCCTACATTTTCCTTGGAATCGACGATTCATTGTGTCTGTGTGTTTTTTCCCCCTCCTGATTTTCGACAGCCTCGGGGCCGGAGAGCGGCCCCCCGAGGCCGGGAGGGACCAACGAAGGCCTGCCGAGCCCGGCGCCTCGAGCCCGCCCCCCCCTTCCTGCTGGCAGGAGCCGGCACTGGGCCACCCCAGAGCCCCAGACGACTCCAACGCTGGCGCCGACGGTTTAGGGTTTAGGGTTTAGGGTTTAGGGTTTAGGGTTTTAGGGTTTAGGGTTTAGGGTTTAGGGCTTCTCGGGCGCGCAGCGGCCGACAGTCCAGGCAAGGCTGCCCCCCCTTCGGCAAGCTTGATTGGGGGGGCGTTTAACCGACCCGATCAAGCTTGGCGAAGGGGGCAGGAGGTGCAACATCTTCCCACCCCCGGCCGCATGGCCGGCAACCTCCCGAACTACAGCCTTTTAGGGTTTAGGGCCGCTGGCCCCTAAATTCCCAAATGCGTCCCAAGCGCTCCCAGGCGCTCCCAGGCGCTCCCAGGCGCTCTCCGGCGCTCCCAGGCGCTCCCCGGCGCTCCCAGGCGCTCCCGGCGAGCTCCGAAGCGCTCCCAAGCGCTCCTGGCGCTCCCAGGCGCTCACAAGCGCTCCCAGGCGCTCCCAGGCGCTCCCAAGCGCCCCCAGGCGCTCCCAGGCGCTCTCGGCGCGTTCCAGGCGCTTCCAGGCGCTCCCAGGCGCTCCCAAGCGCTCCCAAGCGCTCCCGGCACGCTTCCAAGCGCTCCCAGGCGCTCCCAAGCGCTCCCAGGCGCTTCCAGACGCTCCCAGGCGCTCCCAGGCGCTCCCAGGCGCTCCCAGGCGCTCCCAGGCGCTCCCAGGCGCTCCCAGGCGCTCCCAGGCGCTCCCAGGCGCTCCCAGCGCTCCCAGGCGCTCCCAGAGACACTTCGAGGAAAAGGTCTTTGGGTTTAGGGTGTTATATTCGTTGAGGATCAGGGGAGGTTTATCATTGAAGCGCGAATCCCCAAAAGAGGGGGAGGGCAGCAGCAAAAGCTGCCAAGGCGACCCACTCGGGCAACATGCTCAAGCATCTCAGAGATGCCCTGTCTCTCGTAGACGGCGACGGTGATGCGCGGTGGGGTGGGCAGAAGCACAACGAGGTGCTTGGGAATTTAGGGTTTAGGGTTTAGGAACCCTAGACCACAGAACACGAGACCCCCCCGTCGGCCAAAGCAAGCAGAACATCCGAGGGTACCCGCCGCCAGTGTGCACGAGCACATCCAGCAAGCACGAAGAGCAGCAGGGTACCCTCCCCGAACCGACCTCGATCTTATGCCTCCGTCCGACTGTACCGCAATAGACATCTGTCGGAGCTCCGCGCGGACTTCTTGCATCGGTGCTAGAGGCCTCCTAGATGGGGTCAGAGAAGACGGGGTCGGCGGATCTCGTCGCATCGCCGATACATCGGCGATGCATCGGCGCCATCGGCGTGGAGCACATCGGGCCCCACATCGAGCCGCATCGCCGATGCATCGTCCTCTGACCCCATCTACTCCGACCCCATCTGGGAGGCCTGGATAAACCTGCAACTGTCGGAGATCCGCGCGGACTTTCTGCATCGACGCTGAGCCATCCCGGCGGCGCCTCCAGCGCCGCGCAGGATCCTGCAGGCAAACCCAGGTCAGTGCACCCCCGCCTCTGCAGGATCCTGCAAGATCCGGCGCTCGGGCTGACCCTCGGTTGCATGGGCCCCCGTCTCAAGGCTTCCGACCCGGAAAATTGATGCTTGTGCTGGGGAGATTCAAAAAGTAAAAAAAAACTCAGAAACATTCCAAAAAAATCGTCCCCATACTATTTTTGACTATTCTTGCATATTCCTCCTGTAGGGGGACGTGCCCGACTTCATGCTGGAGACGAGACAAGGTCACAAGAACATGGGCCCCCTCGTCGAGAGCCCAAGGCCACATGGAGACATCCAAAACGAAGATCATTCCAAGGTGGAGAGCCCAACGGCGGAGAACTTGAGAGTACCCCTCCGAAACCAGCATTGTTCTGAACCCTGTTGCGAGCTGCAGTGCTCCTCCGGGTGAAAGCGTGGCCGTACGCCGCGGCCCAGGCCGCTCGCGTCCACCCCGTCCCCAGACCTCCGACGACAGGATGGTTGTTCCATCCTGGCGGTGCTTCCTGGATTTCGGCCCTGGGGGGCCGCTGGCGGGCCCGGGGACTCTCGAGAACGAATCATCCGTGGCAGAAGCTGGCCCTGGGAAGGACCTTCTTGGGGCCGCGGGTGGAGAGATCAGGCCGGCTGATGTGAGGGTCTCCCGACCCCATCCCACCTCGTGCTTGCCGCCTCCTCTTCCTCCCATGTGATCTGGGCGTTGCAATAGTTTCCACACTCGGCGTGTGCGCTCGGCTTTCGGGGGTGGGACACTCGGAGATCGATCCGCCTTTGAAAATGCTCCGAAAGAAGGGTCTACGGCTTCGGTCGTGATCTTTCACGATTTGGGTTGACTTCGCAGAATCGGATCTCAGGGTCCCCATCCCCCGCCTAGTCATCCTTCTCCTCCTGCTCCTGTTGAAGTGATCGAGGCGATCGCCGCGTCTGATAAGCTTTAATTATTCCTCCTCCTCCTCCTCCACCTCCTCCTCCTCCTCCGACTCCACCTCCTCCTCCTCCTCCTCCTCCTCCTCCTCCTCCTCCTCCTCCTCTTCCTCCTCCTCCTCCTCCTCCCCCTCCCCCTCCTCCTCCTCCTCCTCCTCCTCCTCCTCCTCATCATCATCATCATCATCATCACCATCATCCTCCATCCTTTGCCTCCTCCTTCTTCTCCCCCTTCACAATGAAACAATATAAATACCACTCTCCTCTCTCCCCTGGTGGCGTCCGGGAAATGGCCGGCCCCCTCCGCGTACTGGATTTTGTTACACCAGATTTCCCAGAAACGGGTTTCCACTTTGGATTGTTCAAATGCTGCTCTCGCTGAAGCACTGGCCTCGTTTCCGCGCATCCGCTCGTTCCGAATCGTGCTCCCGCTGCAGCGTTGGCGTCATACTATTTCCAGCGCCATGCCACGGCATGGTTTTCGGTCCTCCCAAATGGCCCGCAAATCTAGACCCCCCCGAAGAAACCATCGGAAGTGGTTACACATTCGGTGTCGATTCATGGATTGTTTGCGCCGCAGAAGCCCCCCCACTTCGGGGTGTTGCAGCGCCATGCTGTGTCAGACTCCGCGTCCTCATTTCCGCGCTTCCGCGCTTAGGTATCTTTTCAAAATGCTGCTCTCGCTGAAGCGCTGGCCTCATGTTCGGGCTACCGCTCGTTCCGAACCGTGCTCCCGCTGCAGCACTGGCCTAATTTCCGCGCTTCCGCTCGTTCCAAATCGTGCTCCCGCTGCAGCGTTGGCGTCATTATTTCCAGTACCATGCCACGGCATGGATTTCGGTCCTTCCAAATAGGACCGAAGAAACCATTGAAAGTGGTTACACATTCGGTGTCGATTATTTGAT